AGAGGCATTTCTGGCAGTGAACAGATCCAAAGTGCTCCACATTACATAGTGAGGCTATGTGCAAGGATGATAGCCTTAGAACCTTTCAGAAATAATCTGCTCTGCAAAAATGAAAACTATGCATGATCCAAGAGCCGACTGCAGAGGAGCGGTAGAAAGAAGGGACCCTTGCGATAGCAGCAGCAGAGACCGTCCTGACTTACGACGGCACCTGAGCGCGCCTCCCGCCACCCCTCGCTCGCAATACCGACATGCCCTGTCACAGGTTTCTCTGGCACATTTAATTAAGGAGACCGAAAGTGCCCGGGGTCAGACCTCCGCTTAGCTTTTAACCCACTCTCTGCTGCACATTGTCGACGAGGCCATTCTCTGTGGCAACGTCGCATACGTGCTATACGACCACCAATGCATGTATCGATAACCTCAAAATTGGTTTTACATTTTCCTAAACCCTAGTTTTGTTTTCCATTCATTCATGTTATTATCATGATTAGAGTTCCCAGGAGCTTTCAGGGATGGGCTAATTCATAACAATAAATTACTCAGGTGATAACTATCCAACATTATAGTCAATTCATGTAAATTAAGAGTTGTCTCGATGTAAAGGCGTTAATAACCTGTAAACACGCATTTGTTTATAGCGCAGACCTCCTTCTGAGTTGTTCAGGGTAGTATGTAAATCGAATGTTAGCCATATTGACTTGCATGACCTCGACTTGCGCGTTGTTTAATTTCGGACTTCACAAAGTGTGCCTCATAAATCAAAGGTGAGTTTTCATGTTGAACCTGGGGCTGGGACAGGGAAGCCCTGGCCCTGCTGCCAGCTCTCAGCATGGCGACAGCCTGCAGGGTGGGTGGGGCCAAAGAACAATGGGACTGTTTGAAAGAAGGCCCTGTGGACAGCAAGCAGGGGAGAGGCCAGCCAGGTGGGAGGAACTAGAGCCAGTTGTCAATGGAAACATATTAGTCCCAGGGACAGCGAGGCTGTGTAAGTTCCTAGTGACTCGGGTCACTGGCATCTCATCTGCAGCTCACCAAATGGATCCCAGAAGCTTAAAGAATTGACACACCTAAAAAAATACACTTTTGCATTTTCTCCTGCAAGATCAAGGCTAATGTTTGCGGCTTTTGGTTTTGAAGGGGCATAGATATTATATTTAAGAAGGCATGTGCAGATCTGAAATGCATAAAC